CGCCCGCCGGGGGTTCGAGTTCCCGACCCGCCCGCGAGCTCTCACCCAGCCGAACCTCTGAGCACCGGCTTCGAGTCCGCGTCCCGCCGTGCGGCACCCAGCCCGAGCCGGCAGAGCTGTCGTGATGGGCACAGTGACAGTGGTGATACACTCACCGCAACACGTCCCGCTGTTCCGTCCTGCACGGCTGTCTCTTTCTTCCCCTTGCGATGTACTGACCCAAGGTGTCCCTTGCCGTGACTGCCGATGAGGTTCTAAGGCGAGACGAAATGTTGGTGTCCGTTGTTACACACGGGGTTAGTGTCCTTTCTGGGTGTCTGAGAGCTTTCCCCACCGAAGGGCAGCACAGCGGGCACAGCGACCCGTCTCTATCCCTGCTGAGACCCTGATCCGCAGTGCTCCATCCCTCTCACCCTGCTCAGCCCCACTGATGCCCGTGGCAGGATGGTCCATGGTGAAACGGCAGAAGTTGTTTGTTTCCATGGCTCTGTATCCGCTGCTGAGCACACATAGAGTGTTTGGCCCTTTTGCTCTGCCTGTCCATAACCCAGAAAGGAATCCCGAGAGAAGGGCTGTGCTCCTTTTCTCTCGTGTGCTCCCATGGAGCAGCAAACAGGGTGACTGCAGACCCTGCAATCACTTTGGCATCACTTGTACCACTGCAAGTTACATCTGTTCCACAAAGTACTGCAATTTTTAATCAAACTGTTCCAAGTCCTGAGAGTCTGTTTAGCTCTGTATAACTGAAATAATAAAAACCTCTCAGAAAAAAAGAGCCCTGACTGGGCATGGCAAGCATATGCAGCATGTTTAGTGTGAGATTCTTGGACTCCATTCACTGTTTCTGCCTTGGCTTGTGTGAATTGGAACAAATTGGAGCATTCACTGGGTTTAGATTGGCTTCAGACTTAGCTCTAGACTCCATATAAGTCAGTAGAGATTGACTGTTCTGAAGGTAGCACAGGGACCTGATTTTGGAACCAGACCACTCTCCTGAGGTCAGTGTCTAAGACCAATCTCTACATTTGGCCACCTTGAACAGCTCCTTTCCCCTCTCCTAACTAGTCACAATCAGTTTTAACCCCCAGCTGCTGAGTCTAACACACAAGTGTCCATCCAAGGAGGAGTGATGACAGGTTCACTGACAGGACACCCAGTCCTGTGCCTGCTGTGACCAGGGAGGCTCCTGCAGCTCTCTGCAGACTGTGCCTGCTCCTGGGTGTACAGAAAAGTATCAGCTCCACATGGGCCTTGAAGAGGAGGACAATGTAAAACCATTCCTGGCACAGGGACAAGTCAAACATGAGGAGTTAATCACATCCATTTTGACATCCAGGCTCTTCCAACATTTCAAATATTGCCTTCATCTGGAGTGAGCTGCAAATACTCTGTAAGCTTGAGAAACTCCTTAACTTGATGAGAGATCAGAGGCACAAAAGGGCACTCTGCAGAGGAACTGATATGAAATAAAGGAGCAATTGTCACATTGGATCAGAACAGTGTCAACCATGAGAACACCCATCAGCTTCACTATGGTTTCCAGTTCCACACCTGGATACAACAGCTACTCACATGGGTGTTACCTATGGATCAAGTATGCAGCGACAGAAAATTAAACCACATACACTACTCTTAATTTCTACTCAGTCAACTAAACTCGGCTTGGGTTTGGGCTCCATTTTTTCAACTGAACATTTCAAGTCTGGCACATCAGTATGAGCAGAACTGCAAGTGAGTCAAAAATGCCACTTCCCACCTGTGCAGCTGCTCCCTCATTTCCACAGGTTCCTGCAGACACCACCCAGTGCCAACAAACACCAAGCTGGACTTCAAGACTTTATTTGGGATTCCCTTTAGACACACATGTTCCTCAAATAAATAACTTCAAACTCACTATGCAAAGCTGCAAAGCACTTTAAGTATCTGTTATCCCCTTGACACAGCATTAACAGTTTGAGAAGGCTTAACAGTGTACCTAAATAAAATGTATGTTAGGAAACACCAGCTGACATTGCATTTGCTTGGAGCCAAGAGGAGCAATGTCTGTCAGAGCAGCTGGAGTGCCTAAATACCTTTCAGCTGCTGTCCCCACCTTCCTCCCGCTCCCTGTAGGCTTTGTTCAGCAGCTGAATCTCCTCCTGGTAACCATCTCTGTCCAGGTGCTGCTTCCTGCTGTTCTGCCGATGAGCCTCCACGGTGTCTGGGATGGATATGCTGATGTCGCTGCCAGGGTTGTTGGAGGGGATGAGCAGGGAGTAGGAGGCACTTTCGCCCAGGTCACAGGACACAAACCTGTTCTCCTTGCGCGAGTAGCGCAGGGAGGGTGAGCGCGCCTGCGCCGAGGACTGGCTGATGTTGCTGATGATGGACACAGTGTCCAGGGCTTCTTCATTGTCACAGATCTCAAGCACCTCTAGGTGGATCTTCACACTTGTGTCAGCAAACGTGTTGGGAGACTCCTCTGGGTTTGGCTCATGCCCGACGCTGTTGGATAGATAAACCTCAATTTTCTTGGCCGTGGGGGTGATTTTTTGCCCCTCAGAGCTTACCTCATAGGTAGATAGGGAGAAGGTTTTCCCCGTGGGTGCCTGGAGGGACACAGTCCCTTGGAATGCCCACAGAGGGATGGCCAAGGCCCCTCCCGAGCGCTGCAAAGGGAAACAGTGACCATTACCTAGTGCTGATTCTCCGAGTCAGAATCCATTAGAAATAAGTCAATTATGGTCAGTTTGTTCACTTATTTTTCTGCCTTTTCCTTGCAGTGTTTTAGAAACCTGGTGTTTATGACTTGAAAAGTAGAAAGAAGTGTTTTATTATTACACACTTTAGTACAAGGAGTGAAGTCCCAAGTGACTATGACTCAGCTGCAGCTCATGGACACACACACTTCATTAGAATACTCCAGACTTGCTGCTTCCTTGCAGCCAGCCCACAGTGAGCAGCCAGCACTGGCAAAAACCTCTCTCCTAAAGTCTGTTCTCTCTTGAGAAATCAGCATTTGCTGTTAGATGTGAGAAAGACACATTAAGTCTTCTATGTCACTTCCAAGAGCTGTGACTAAACCCCTGGTTATAACACACAAGAGAGGGCAGAATGCATTTTGGGGTTTAGGTACAGCCAGGTAAAACCCATTATTACTGGAATTACTTTCAGTATAAATTACTGTTAATGAGTAAGTGTGACCTTTATCTTGTCCTTGACACCAGTATTAAATATCCATTTTTGCTTCTCATGCCATATCCATGGCAATAAATAGGAATCCACCAGCAAACCAGGCTCTGCTGGTGCATCCTGTGAAGAAGCATTTTATCTTCCACTGGTTCCTACAGCTCAGTTGTCTGATTTCAGCCTTACAGTGCAATTTCACTCCAGAACAGGAGGAAGAGGAAGCAGTTTGAATAACTCAGAACAGTGGCCTTCGGTGCCTCCATCCAGGTCCCTGAGCTCATCTCTGTTATTGCAGTGTGAACAAGAGCATCCACAGCTGTACATTCATTTTTACTTCAGTGAAAACAGATGGAGACCCACTGTGCTGTTCCTGAACATCTGCCATCCTAGTCCCCTCAGCCTGGGCACTGAGTGCTCTTGGAAAAGGTCCTGCTCCACCAGGCCCTTTCCACAGGCTCTTCCCACACACTTTGAAGTCCTGCATTTAAATACAATCCTAGTTTCCAAAAGAAGTGCACACGTAACTCCTTCACACACTTTACACTGCACCTTCTCTCCTTGAAACACTTCCACATAGGTGTTTTTAAGAAGGATCAGAAAACTTACAGCTCCCTGTTTCCTGGATTGTCTTCCCAAAGACTGATACAGG